CATGACAAATGTATCTTAACATCTGGAAAAAAGAAACGAGAATAACAGAATTCAAAACATGTGTACGTTACAAATACTTATTACGCTCAGATAAGATATGAAAGTAGTCAGTTGACTTGAGACAAGAATGTAGCCAACTAACTCATTTTCTCTTTATGCTTAAAGTAAATGTATTTCAAATTCAAAATGCCAGAACAACGTATTCTAAAAAGGAATAACGATTTCTAATAAGGAATAACCAGGTAATCTAATAAGTAAAGACTAAATAAAAAATAGGGTAAATTACACAAAACTACCTCAAGTATGAGTCTAACCACAATCTCATAACCTCATGTTTTAAACATTGCAATGTCATACCTCAACTTATAAATTCGTTGCAATGTCAAACCTCCGTTAAGTTTTCTGTCAATTTGGCTGTTAAATGATTACATGGCCAGACAACGTGGCATATATTTGTTGACGTGGCGTGTATGGGTACTAAATTTGTGTTATGTAAATAATAAATAAATAAATAAGCTAAATAATTTTAAAATATCATTTCAAATTATTAGGAAAAAAAAAAAGTAATCCAATATTTATTCATCATGACCCACCCTTCCCCAAAACCCCCTAGATCATCCCTTCCCCAAATCCTTTAGCGCCGCTGCCCCACCCTAACCCCACCATCTCTTCCAAAATCCCTTCCCTCTTAGTCCTCCAATACCACAACCACTTTCTCTCCCATCCACCCACTGCATCAACATCTCTCTTTTCTGTGAAATTAACATATTTAAGCAGTGAAACCAAATTCCAAGAACAAATCAAACAAGACGACAGCGACACGGACTAGGGCTGCAGCAGGCGGTTGGCTTCGTCTTCGTTGACGTCGTCTCCCAGCTTCGACGACTCGAGTCGTCGTGTTCGCGTAATTGGGCGTTCATGATTTTTGTTTGTTAGTTGTCAAGAAAAGCACATTGCAATTCCTGGCCCTTGAAACTTCTTCGTGCCCCAGAAATTCCAGGGCTCTTAAGCTTCTTCTGGATCCGCTTCACCAGGTGGGTGGAGAATCCCACGAGTATGGTTAGGAGGGACTGGATAAGATCTGGATTGGGATGGTGGTGGTAGGGGTGGGGCAGCGGCGGTGAGGCATGAGTTGGATTTTTTTAAAATATTTTGGAGTGATATTTATAAATAATTAATTTTTTTTTGTTTATTTTTATTCACATAGCACAAATTTGATAGCCATACATGCCACATCGGCAAATACCACGTAGTCTTGCCACATCATCACTTAACGGTCAATTTAACGGATTGACTAACAGTGATCTAACATTGCAAAGAATTCGTAAGTTGATGTATGACATTGCAATGTTTAAAAGATGAGGTATGAGTTTGTTATGCGACCGAAAATTGAAGGTGAAAATTGTAATTTACCCAAATTATGAAAAGGCCAAGACATGGTAAGTTATTACTCACCAAAAGCCATTGCATAGTTAGGTCTTGTCTGGAGAGCACGTTGATAACACACGATTGCCTCCTGTGGCAGTCCCAAAGCCTGGAAAAGGCAAAAGAAATAGCTTGTTTTTCTCCAACACAAGTCCGCCACTTGCACCTACCGAACCTTACTTGCATTAGGCATGACAGCTTACCTTATAAACATTCCCAAGATTGAGATACGCATCTGGAAAAGCAGGTTTGAGTTTCACGGCCTCCTGAGATAGAAAAGTATCGAAGGAACAGTTAAGAACATTTCTAAATAGGGCCGATATGAGAAATCATGTATGGAAATAAGATATAAAAGAATAAGTACATCACAAAGACAGAAGATGAATAATGGATGAACACAAAATTTACGATACCTTATAGTACTTCAGGGCCCTATTAAGATCACCAGACTCCATGAAAAGACCAGCAAGATTAGACCATGCAATAGCGAAGTTTGGTTGGATACGTATAGCCTCGAGGTAGCAACTGTATGCCTGCACAAAAGGTTAGAGTCTGACTATTTGCAGTCTTGGGGATGGGAGTAACAACAAAACCATCATCTGAGCCCTGGCCTGGGGACAACAACTTCATATCTGTTTGAACTGTGAATTCACACAGTTCCACGCATGAATTATTCCATCAGTGACTTTACTTGATATACATTACAAAAATTTAAATGTTGAACAGAATTAGCATTCCAGTAGACTGTTGCGAAATCCAAAATTATTAAGCCCCCACAAAACTGGGCAGGGGTATAGTTTGGGCCAGGTGGATATTCTAGAGCAGAAGCTCAGACTTAAGTACCATATTCTGTACTGAATCTGAACAGAAAGTGATACAGCGGTATTATAGGTCTAGGGCCTAAGCAAACAGCATGGAAGGTTAGGAAAAACAATAACCAACGGCACTTAAATCCTATACAGCGCAATCTAGATCTTAGCTTCCATTACATATATTTGTAACTAAAACATAATACAAGGCAATGCATTCATTTTTCAAGACTTACCTCTTGCACCAATCCCCGTGCCTTCATTAGATTCCCAAGATTACTATGGGCATCAACCTGTTTTATCAATTTCCCATTGTAGTTAGCTTGCAGATAATATTGAAAGCAGAATAGTGTGTAACCTTGGATCGGACAAAAGAACAACAATAACAGCCTGTAGAAAGTCAAAAATAACAAGATGGAAGCCTACCAAATGGGGATTTAATGCAAGTGCCTGGCGACAACACTGTGCCGCTTCTTCATGTCTTCCTTTCCGCATGTATGCACTAGCTAAGTTTGACCATGCATCACAGAAATTCGGACGAAGCTGCAGCCAAGAAAAAGTAAGATCAATAAACTAAACAAAAGTATTGAGTCTATGAGAAGACAAAGACACCTAACCGTTCAAACTGAAGCAGCACAACTTGAAATTTATAAACAAAGCACATCCAAAAAGTTTAATAACCAAATTAGGGAAATTTGACTCTATAAATTAAAATTACACACTAAAAGAAAACTAGACATCCATTTTTAATCCCTTTATACGATTTGAGGGAATGCAGGAATAATCAGAAAAAAATTATATAATTGTATACGAACCTCAATGGCAACCAAATAATAGCGAATAGCAAGGTCATTATTTCCTTTTTCCTGCATAAAGAACAAACCAACTTTAACATTATGGAAAATTGTTCAACCAGAAAAACAGAAGAGGTGAAACTAGGCAACCATGCATTCACGACACCACCTTCCAAGCATTAGCCATGTTCCCATAACACTCGGCAAAATGCGGCTCAATTCGAAGGGCTTCTTCATTTTTGGCAATACACATATCAAAGTCATGCAACTGCAACAAAATAAAGCGCACACACAATATTAATCAATTTCAGGTTTCCAATTCTAATTGAACGAAAATCAACCATTGGAAAATAATAAAATTACACTTTAATGAATTATTGAACCTGATAATAGATTGCACCCAGAAGAAGGAGATTGTCGGTGCGAATCGGGGTTTTCTCATACACAATTTTGCTATGCTCTAGAGCCTCCTTATAGTTTCCAGCCTTGTACATTTGATGAGCAATAGTCATATGTGCGTCTTCATCAACTTCATAATCAAATAATTCATCAATTAGCATCAACAATAAGAAATTCAAATAATTAACAACAACAAAAAAAACATCTTTGTGATAGGGAACAATAGATGAAAACCCTAACCCTAAAATTCGAATTTTAGCTTTTCTGTCAAAATTCTTAGCTCAAATTAATCACCAGAAGAACACTCATCGATTGAAAAACACCAAAAATTGCAATTCAAGTTTCAAACTTTAATTAAGAGACAATTTAGAAATTCATATTCCGATTGTAAAAAATATTGAATTAAAAAAAATTGGATCAGAAAATGGAACCTTCACGAGCATCGTGATGAGGCTTGAAAGAGACCAAGCTGAGCGACGACGGCTCCGGCTTAATTCCAAAGGAATCATCGCGAGCGGCGCCGAAGTGTGCCCTAGAAGCTCCGACCACCGCCGGCGGCTGACGAGCCTCGCCCTGAACCGTGATCATCATGGTGAACCTCCTCCTCACCCCCCTCCGATCACTACCATCCAACTGCGATCGGACGGCCCACAACTCTCTCTCGAGCTGTCTGGCTCTGCCCCTTGGCTTCCAACTTTTTTTTTGTTTTTGGGGAGTTCTACAGTTTGCGTAATTGGAAGAAGCGACTTTTTTTGGAAGCGGCTTTTTTTTCGGTGCCTTTTTTTGGTGCGAAGAACAGACGACAACGCGACAGAAACAGAAAGAGGGGTTTAAATATTAGGTGGAGAAGTCGGCTGTGGGCGAGGAATCTGGGCCGTCGGATGGGGGATGTGATTGAGATTTGAGATTGGTTGTCGACGTGCCGTATCGGTTGAGTTGTAATTTCCAAAGATTCTGTAACTTATTTGGAGTTTTCACCTAAATACGGAAGAAAAATACCACGTTTTGGACACGTAATCTTAGGCTGACTGATGAATGCAAAAGTGAGTATACTTTTAATTATTTTGGGATAAAATTTCACGTTTTGACGCACATTTTAAAGGAAAGGGATCCTCTACCAAATCCAAACAATGAATCAAAGACTGTATAAAGTTCGTCAGATATAGGATCATAACAGATACAGAGGGGCGTTGGGGGTGTGCAAAAGATGCAGTAGCACAGGGCCTGAATTTTGTAGGGGCCCCAAATTTTTTGATCTTCCTTTATATTACACGTGAGTATAAATTTCTAATAAAAAAAATTAAGCTGAAAAGAAAATTCATCATCATCACAATTGGTTAAGCAAAGCTTGTACTCAATATATTAATTTTCTTCTTTTTTTTAACAATTAAAAACGTATGCACTACTTTCTTCCACTTTTCTATTAAGCAATAAAAAACTAACTTGTGTATTACTTTATTCTACAAATACAAACGTATTTTCGTATCTCTATTTCAGCTGTGCTCCATTATTTTTTATAGATGAACCCAAAATCATGACTTTATTTTGGAGATTATTCAATTAGTAAGTGGGAAGTTTGAATATTGATTGTTGAGCTTTGTATAGATATATTGTCCAACAACATTTTTTTTTTTAATAAGGAGGACTTTTTTATTAAATTCGCACAAGGCCACCAAAATGTCAGAGACGGCCCTAAACACATATATACTGCTTACCGTATGAAAAACGGAACGTGTTATCCCTGTCAAATGGATGGAGAAGTCATAGGGTACATGTACAGGGAGAATTTTATTGTATTTGTTTAGAATCAAGGTTCAGTATGTCTATGGAATTGGTATCATGATTTAATGAATCACTTTCAAAGTGTGTCCTTTCTCCTCTCATTTGACCCAATGAGCATGGAAACAACTTCTCTCATGGTCGGGCGGTCGAAAGGGGACATACTTGTGCACGTCAAAGCAATTTTCAAGACAGTAATCATGTGAGAGACAGTAGCTTCATCTTGTAAATCTAATCGAGCATCGAGTACTCCTGAAGACAACGAATGGTGCAGAAAATAGTTTCTTACCCATGTTACCAGGTCACCGCCTTCCTCTATCGATTGTACAGGCGTTCTGCCGGTCAGCAACTCCAGAAGGACTACTCCGAAGCTGTAGATGTCACATTTTTCTGTGACTTTCAAAGTGTATGCATAATCTGGAAGAAAAGATTATGTATCAGTATCTAAAGCATTAATCATCCTAACTATAACAGAAAGCATTCGGGGGTTATATCAAATCGATCTTCTAAGTTGCATGGTATTGAGATTAGTTAAAAGATAGCTTACCAGGAGCAACATATCCATAAGAACCTGCAACTACAGGCATAGTCGTAGAGTGTGGCATGTCAATCACCTTTGCCAACCCGAAATCCCCAACACGAGATTCAACCTTGTCGTCAAGAAGAATGTTATTGGACTTTATATCACAGTGAAAGATTATCGGTTTGCAATCATGATGCATGTAAGAGCGACCCTGAGCAGCCCCAAGAGCAATCATGAATCTCGTTGTCCAATCAAGACTACAAGATGTTCCTTGAAGCAATTTTCCCAAGCTGCCTCTCGCCATGTACTCGTAAAGCAGAAGATTGCAACCCTGGTAGTAGCAGAAACCGCATAGCTTTACAATATTTCGATGCCTGATTTTTCCTAAAGTTAGAATTTCAGCATGAAAACTGTTATCCACATTGTTCCCCTCCGTGCTGGATACTACCTTCTTAACAGCAACTGTATGACCCGTCGGTAAGACTGCTTTGTACACGGTTCCACAAGCTCCTCTTCCAATTGCAAAGCTCTCATCAATATTTTCAGTCGCCGCAACCAAGTCTTGGAAAGTGAACCCTGCAGCCTTCGGACAAAATTAGATGTCCAAAACCGGCAAAGAGAATGATTTTTCCTGCAATGAAGAAACTACGCTCGTGGGACGTCTCATGACATATACAAGGATTGCAATCAAAATGAGAGAAACACCACCAATAGCTGCTGCGATGATAGCGATGATTTTACCCAAGTGGGGGCGTTTCTTCGCCATATCCGGAGGAAAAGAGAGTGAATATGGTGATGTTGCGCAATCACCAAGAGGCCCGCCGCAGAGTCCTTTATTCCCAACAAAGCTGTCAACGGTCATATTCTGAAAGAATGGTAAATGAGGAATAGGCCCTACCAAGGCATTGTACGACAGGTTGCAGACAAGTAGACTCAAAAGATTCTTGAAAACACCTGGAATTGTACCTGTCAAATTGTTGTTATTGAGTAGCAGGAATTCCAGTAAGATAAGATTGCCAAGCTGAGGAGGTATCTGCCCGGAAAGGTTGTTAAAACTGAGATTTAATGCAATCTGCAGGCTCGAAAGGGAACCCAACTCCGCTGGGATGCCGCCAGAGAATGAGTTGCCACCCATTTGTAGCTCAGTCAAACGTACAAGGTTTCCCAGCGCAACCGGTATGTTTCCGGAAAGATTGTTTTCAGAAAGCTTGAGAAGCTCCAACTGAGAAAGTGTTCCTATCTCACTTGGCAATGCATCTGAAAAGTTGTTATTGCTAAGATCAAGCCGTTGAAGTGTTTTACAATTGAAAATTTCAGGCGGTATCCTTCCAGAAAGAGAATTGGATGAGACATTAAAGGTCACCAACTGTGGGAGGCTACCAATCTCTCTAGGCAGCTCCGATGTGAAGTAGTTGCCCGAAAGGTGAAGCCTTTGCAAAGTTCTACAGTTGCCAATTTCTGGAGGAATGGCTCCCCTGAACTTGTTCTGATCCAACTCCATTGTAGAAAGGTTAACCAGTTTGCACATTTCGGATGGAAAAGTACCCGTGAGGTTGTTTCCAACTAGACGAAGCTGCACTAATGACTTGCAGCTTGTGATGCCATTTGGTATATTCCCAGTGAGCCTGTTAGACCCCAAATTTAACAAAATCATGTTAGAATTTCTGCAGAGATGATGAGGAACTCCCCCTGTTAGGAAGTTTTCGGATAAGTCAACCACCCAAAGCGCGCTATACACTCCAAGGCCTTGAGGGATTACACCACTCAGCAAATTGTGGAACAATTGCAGCATGATCAGTTCAGTCAAGTACTGGATTCCGATAGGAATTGAACCGGTGAGAAAATTGATAGAGAGGTCGAACTTAGTCAGGTTTGTAAGGCTTGTGAACTCATCTGGAATAACACCTGTGAATTGGTTCTTGAAAAGATAAAGCAATTGCAATGCCGCTATCTTACTGAGCTCAACCGGTATCTCTCCTGATAACAAGTTCTCCGAAAGATCAATCTGTGTTACTAGAGAAAGATTGCCAATCTCTCTTGGAACTGTCCCATTCAACATATTTCTGTAAAGATACAACTTCTCCAGATGAGCAATGTTTCCGAGCTCCCTTGGAATCTCTCCCACAAGCTTGTTCTCATACAGGGCAAGAATTTCCAAATTTGTACAGTTACCAAGCTCCTTTGGAATAACCCCGGAAAGCTGGTTACCCCAAAGAAACAAAGCTCCCAAATTCTCAAGCATTCCGAGCTCCTTAGGCATTTCTTCACTTAACTGATTTTCCGCTAGACCAAGAACCTCCAAGCTCTCACATGCACCTATCTCTGTAGGCAAGCTTCCGGATATTAAGTTCTCCCCTGCCCGGAAAGTCCTCAATCTTTTGAGATTTCCAAGAGAGCGCGGCAAAATTCCGCTAAGATTGTTAGAGTAGGCAATCAACTGGGACAGGGATGAAAGATTTCCAATTTCTTCATGGATAGGCCCTGATAATCTGTTGTTGCAGAGATTCAGTACTCGTAAACTTGAAAGCGTAGCTATTGGTTTAGGAATTTGACCTATAAAGTTATTGTCATTCAAATTTAGAACCTCCAAACTCGAACAATTTCCGATGTCTTCAGGTATACTCCGAGTCAGTTCATTGAAAGAAAGATTAAGATAGTTCAGGTGAACCAATCCGCCAATGCTCGGAGACAAATAACCCGAAAGATTCATTGAGCTCAAGTCAAGAGACAGCACAAGTGGATTGTATCCACTGCTGCAATTCACTCCTCTCCATCCACAAGGTGTGAAATCATTGGAATTCCAACTACCAAGATGATCAAACCTATCAACTAATCCGCTCTTGAATTTTAGAAGATATTGACCCTCATCGTTAAGCCCCTCGGATTCGAAAACCAAAAGGGCAGCAACAAGGACAACTATAGTAATCAAGAAACCATATGACATGTTCACCATAACCATCAAATGGAATTGAAACCAATAACCCTTAGTTTGTAGGATTTCAGCACTCACAGCACCACTTTCTCATCAACATTTCCATGATTTTTTCAACGAAAACTAGACTTCGAGGAAGTTAACACAACAAATATGAAGGGTGATCACAAAAGCAAAAGATTCAGATTTGAGAAAGATACAAGGGTTTTGATAACTTGCAGGGAACAATGATTTTACATACCTGGAGTTGATGACCAAAGTGGACAAAAAAAAAAAGGAATCCCATCAAAGAGAAGCAACCAAAACTCAAGGAAGCTGCAAGAAACGCGCTCCACTTTCCCGGGAAAATAAAACTTTCTGGGAAAATTCATTGGATGTTTATGGTTGAAAAGAAAGAGTGGTGCATCATTGCAGTGCATTGCCACCTTTCTAAAGATAATTTTAAAGGATAAAAAGCCAAGTGTTCATTCATTTTGTCACCCTACAGAATGTTTCAGAAGATCCTACTTTGTGTGAATCTGGAAGAGAGAGAGAGAGAGAGAGAGAGAGAGAGAGAGAGAGAGAGAGAGAGAGAGATATTGTTTTAGGAATGGCCGACAAAGCATGCACGAAGCATAAGCTTTTCTCCTCTCTCGCTCCTCTTCCATAATATTTTAGCGTTTCACAAAAGCTAACTGAGATTGTTTCAGTTTTATATTGTTCTGCTGCTATTGTACTTCTTTTAACAGAACAAATTAAGAAATTATACTTCTTTTAAAATGTACTTAAGAGTTTTTATTCAAAAATCGATGTGCTTCTAATAAAAGCGTTTTCAGTGATAATACTTTTTAAAGAAGCATATAAGAACCAACCGATCCCGGGCGGTCAAACCCTTGAGTCTTAGTAAAAGGTTAGTTGGCATGATCTAGTTTTGAGCAAGTCAAACTTGATTATACTTATGGCTGTGCTTGAGTTCGATTCCTAGCATTGATGAATCATACGATGATGATCAGTTGCTGAAATGTCTTTATAAGTCTTTTTGATTTCGAAAAAAAAAGGCTTTCGTGACTTCGCCGTAAAATTTTTTTTTCAGAAAAAAAGTTTTATATTTATGATTGAGAGACACCGCAACATATGTACCACTGCCCCTTTCGGTCGTCGTACGCCTCTTCCACTATAACTTTTGTTTTGTTGTTGTATTTTTTTGGGCTAACACGTAGGTTTTCCATACTTGTTTTGGATTGGAAAGCGTAAATGCTTTATGTTTTTGCAGATGATTAAGCATTTTGTTTGTTTTTCTTTTGCTATGAGTAATTAATGACTACATATATCAAATGAAATTGTGTTATTGGATCAAGAAGTCATGTAATGGTGTACGTGTTTAAAGCAAGTTGCTCTCTCCTCTTGTCATAAATATTACTTTAAAACTTTGAAAACAAAATTTAGAAGAGAGAAAATATCAAATGGCTGCTAAAATTTTTTAGTGACAACCTTCTAAAGATTTTTCGTCGCTAAAGAGGTTGTTCATATTTTGAACGACTGTTTCTGGATAATTGTTTCATCACTAAACGTTTATTTTATTTGGAAGAAAAACGTGAAAGAGAAAATGATGGCAACTGATATGGTTACCTGATTGTAAGACACCGAAATAAAACAGTAAAATTATTTTGTATGTAATTTACTATATTGACCATAACTTTTATTTTGCTTTTTTTCCTTTAATTTTGTTAACAAATTATTTAGATTTTTACTCTTTTTGATCTACAAAAAGAATTTTGTTAATACGTACTGCCTTTATACGAGTTGGACATAGTGGATAATATATACGTCATTGCTGACGATAACCCCAACCACTGGCACACTGTATTGACAGCTGACATGTCAAAATGGCCACCCAAACACAGTAACACTGGCCGGCCGAACCAACAAGGCTGTACGGCCGTACGGCCGTAATCACAAACTAAGGAGTAGGGACCCTTAAAACTGCCTAGGCTAGAAAATTTTCAGTATGTCCAGCACACAGATCGGTTGTCATAATATGTAAAGAAAATATATTTTTCAATGTCCTTTCATTTGTATTATAAATGTAACCACCCAGGGTCCCGCCCATGTAATGATTGCTGCATATGAATCTACAGGCCCGAGAGGGACCCAACAGGATCCTCTCCGGATCCTTTTGGTGAAGATCCTGAGGATCCGTGAATTGTGTCGGTTTATCATACATCATGTAGTTAGTTTTTGTCAGGTACTATTTGTGTTTAATTTTAAATAAAAATATTTAAAATAATTTCACCGCACGATGTACGATAAACAGACACGATTCATATATCCTCAAGATCCTCACAAAGAGGATCCGGATTCCAAAGGAACTTTGTCATGTCTTTTGACAAAGACAATAATCTTAATCAGTATAGGATAATAGAGATTCGAACGTGAGGGCAAAGCGTTTGACATGCTACACTAGACTGGCTTAGGCCACGTCTGCATCTAAAAGTTGAGAGTATGCAATTCATAACGAACTTTTCAAAACAATGCTGTCTCTCCCTCTCTCTCTCTCTCCACTTGCATTATCTACATAACTTCGAATGCAATCGTGATTAGGAAGTACAGAAACCAAAAGGAAGAGAACAGCTTAAGCATCAAGGAGTAATGAAATGACCTGACTTGTATAATTCAATTCAGGCCTCTTTCTGCGGAAGAGTTTCAAACGCAGAGACGGTGTTCTCGAACTTGACCCGATGCAGAGGGGCACCGCTTTGCTTGATAGCGCAAGCCGTCTTGTCTTCGAGAGGGCAGCGCGCCTTTAGCATGCTGAACACATGATTGTTTAGCCTCCTTGCTTTCTTCATTACTTCTAACAGACCGTCCCATCCCTTCACCACATATAACCAAACAACCAAGTTAAAACTTAAAACCATTACCATGTTTGCATGCAAAAACACATCATTGATCAGAGGACGAGTCAAGAACAGAGAGTTTACGGGGAAATTCGTAAACATTATTTGATACATTGAAACGAAGACAAATGTTGTAAACTATCAAAGGAGTTCTACAGAAAGTAGTAGGAAACAACAAATGGATGCGGAAGCGGATGATAGGATGTGTGACTTCTGTACCTGGACAAAATGAGGACTCTTGTGGGCTTGGCTGATCGATGCAGACTCCACTTCGGCAACGTTGAGGACCTGATGTGAAAAATCCAAGAGCTCAAAATGTAGCTGTTGCCCAAGCAAGTATATTATGGTGCAACCACCCCAAGCTATTGAATCACCCAGCACTTCATGACTGCTTGGTGTTACTCGAACAGACTCCTCTAGGTACCACTACAATTTAAGAATTACAATATGTTAGTAGTTAGCAGCAATAAAAGATGAGAAATATTCCGATTTCTAGCACAAGTAAACCAGGTACACCAGATCTTACAATTTGAAGACCACTGTATATACGATAGAAATCCTTTGACGTTGTGATGTCGATGAACCCTGTTTTTGGAACAGCACTCCATTTGCTACAATATTTGTCCAGAGCCGCACTAGTAAATGCTAGGGCGTATTCCAGCACACTTCCAGTATTCATGTTAGCCTTGTACAACAGATCTGCAGTGAAAGTAGACATCTGAAACCATCAACACGTAACAGAAATAAAACAGGAACCAAAATAGGATTACAGGTTTCTGCATTTTATTTCAATTAAAGCATGTGAATCAAAAAATCTCCAAAGAAAGTTTACAAGAACTACATAATTATATAGTATAAGCAGGAACTTTTTAGGAGTAACGTGCAACTGCACACCTGCAGCTTCCGCCTGTTTTGATAAGGTATGGAAGGAAGTCGGATTTCGGCACCCAGGATTTGACACAATTGCAGAAGTAGCTGATTTGAAGAGGTTGACAATAGGGCTTTCTCCGCCATCTTGAGAATGCAGTATTTGTCCATCTGCGCCAGGAAGCAAGCCCAACCAAGGGGCTGTTTGCATGAAATGTGTCGTATCTGTTTCTCTCTGTCAAGCAGTTGAGATCGTAATTGTAAGGATCAACCAGCCATCAAAATTAATTTCAATTAAAATAGCAATCAATGTGATGTGCAAAAATCAGGATACGCCTGCCTAATATCACATAGCAATGGCAAAACTAATGCTATCATTGAAGTATTCAAAACACTAACCAACACGATATCAAGAAGCCCCAACCAATATAACACACTTCCAATCTCCTTTATCCCTCGAAGAACTTCGGTTTTGAGCTGTGATTTGGTTCCCCAACTAAGTTGTTCTTTAACAAGCCTCATACAACCTGGGTTTAAAGAATTACAAAGGAAAATCAGAATATACCGCAAACACTGCGACAAAATTATGTGTGGTGGGGGTTGCTTTATTTGCAGATGCACTACTTATTGCTTCAATATTCCACAGAAAAACTTAATATAAAAGGATCAAAAGAGTACATCTATATCCAAAAAAGGTTCAAACATTAACTTTTATTCATGAATCATGAGTCGTGACCCAGTCAATTCATTTTTTTGTTTTTCTAATTAGCAAAGAACGCATACAAAACATAGCACTATGTACCTGTCACGCCTCCATCAAACGGAAGCAATCCAATAGACTTCGGCAAAGCTTCTTGTAGTCCTGTTATCATTGGTTCCACCGCAGCTATCTGAAAGAAGCACACATGACCGTGAAAATCAACATGGCGTTAATGTTATCAAAAGCTAACATGCATTAAACAAAGAAAATTTCTAACATAGCATGACATACCTTGTTTGACACATGATCTAGAAGTGCTCGAATTAGCCAAGGCAATGATCTAGACCCTAGAAGCCTAACAATTGAAAACATGTGGGGCATCCCAAAAAATCCACCGTGCAACCGTGCAAAACTCTGATGAGCTGCATTTAAGTCCTGCCATGACACAATTGATATTCAATACAGTAAAAAATACTAAACCAAAAGGTTTGCACTTACAATGACAAATGAGGAATTAGGCTTGGCAAGGAAGATTTCTTACTTTAGTACCACAATAGAAATTAGGCTTGGCAGAGGGAACCGATGGCTTTTGAATAGGTACAAGAGGCACCTTTGATGATCGGGTGAAACGCTGGGTAGTATTGCAAAGGATGAAGTTTGGCAAGAAATCATTTTGCATCTCTGACCAAATCTAGAATAAAACAAAATGAATAAGTGCATATAGAAAGTAAAAGACTCAAGATTCACAGTTCCGAAGTAGCTTAGTAACAAAGACAAAGAAAAAATTGCCAAACCTGGGAAGCAAGTCGACTACAGTATGACACAAGCGATATGTTTTCTTGCATCTCATTCAACATGATACTGAACGAGTCTATTGAGATATCTCTGGATAGCAACCCATGGGCATGTTTTAAGATATCCAACAGATTTTCTAATTCCTATCAACCAAAAAGTTATATTTGTTAACAAAGGGATTGCTTACACTATCAAGGAGACAAAAGTAAAACTCTGAAACTACTTACCACAATAGCGCATAGATCCTGAGACTCAAAACGATCAAATAGAAACTCGATATTATCTCTGAAAACTTTGTTCATCCGGTCAGCAATCAAACTTCTCAAATCAATCATCCTCCCAAGCAACTGTAGGCAATGAAATTTTACTCTTAAGTAGAGGAAAGTGATACTTATTTTACTCGTGTATTCAAAAAGCATAAATATAACCAGTTATAATAGGAAAACTAATGAAAATCACATATCAAAGTTAGAAATTACCTTAACTCTGGTCATCTTCAGTAGGGCAGTGAA